GAGAGGAGCAGGGCAGGGCTGAAGGATCCTAACAGCCTCCTCCCAAGAAAGGAGGGGTTGGGCCCTTGCAGGGTATTGCAGCTTCAAGGCTGCGGTAGCAACTCTGGTGCAGTTGCATGTTTACATGAGAGTTTTGGTGGGGTGTCCCCCCCCCAGAACAGCAGAATTGCAATGAGTTTCTATTACTCCAAAGGGACAGCTACACAACAAAAGCAAAGCAAAACAAAACAAAAGATGCAGCAGAGAGTCTCAGAGGCTGGGTCAACCGACTCGGGCTTGCACAGTGAAGAAGATGGTCTCAGAGCCCAGGCTCCTGCCCGAGTGGGAAAGTCTACACTGCTATTTTTAGCCCCCTACTGCGATCCCCAGTCAGCTGCCCCAGACTTTGAGACTCGCTGCTGCAGGGCTTTTTTTGCCGTGTGGACTTACCCTAAAATGATGTGTTTCTTAGGGGCCAGTTCTGAGAGATGCTGAAAGCCCAACTCCCCTTGACTGAAATGGGAGTTGAGGGAACTCAGTACCTTGTAGGATCAGACCCTTAGCATGGAATGGTCTTCAGTGCAAGTTGTGGGCATTCAGCACCTGACAGGATTGGGCCTGGGACTGAGAACCATGAATTACTGATCTGTAACTCTGGTTCTGACACAGGACCTCTAAACAAATGTCCCTTAATCTCTCTGCTTCTGCTTTCTCCTTTGTAAACTTGGGACAGGAATGCTTACTTCCCTTACAGTTGATTGATCAGGATTAAATAAAATATTTTCATTTGCAGATCATAAGTGCTTTTATAGCACACAGCATTATGATGGCATGTGTGTGTCAAGCAACCATGCGGTTGCTATTTTCCTACATCATCTCTCAATCTGGCTAGGAAAAAGAAAATCTTGCAGTGAAAAGATACAGTATCTATTCTTCTCCCTCAGACCTAGCAAAGATAAATATTGGACAACTCTTCTTCCACAGAAATAGTTGAAGAGAAGTTACCTGAAGAAAAATGTCAAAACTAGAAATGTGAAGAGCCAAGCATTTAACAGCTTTATTTAAGTAGCAGGAGCATTCAACAACATTTACTGCTTTGGGACTGTAGAGGAGTGGACTCACCCCTGTGGCACCTCCTGCTTGTCATCTCTGGGAATTAGCTCTTCCAGCATCCTAGAGTGCCCCCTGCAGGCCAGTGATCCACCTGTCCTCTGGCCCCTGTATCCCTCCCTGGACCCCAGTGCCCGGTTGTCTGGGGTGCTGTCCCCTGACAGTAACCCCAGTCTTAGGGTCCCCCCCCCACTATCCCTACCTTGCCTCAGAATAAGGCCACTGCCAGTCATCAACTAGCCCCCACTCCCTGGGGCAGACTGCAGTATAGGCCACTCATCACAGGTAAGGTTGGGTTTGGACCTGCTACCTTAGCCTACCCATGGGCTGCCTTCTGCAACCCCCAGTACCCCTTGGCCTCCTACTAGGCCACAGCCTGGGGCTATCCAGGCTGGAGCTCCCCAGCCCTGCTCCACTCAGGTACTCTACCTTTAGCTCCCTACAGCCAGGCCCTTCTTTCTCTGAACACACAGAGAGACTGTTGAGTGCATAGCTCCCTGCCTCTTATATAGGGCCAGCTGAGGCCTGATTGGGGTGTGGCCCAGCTGTGGCTACTTCCCCAATCAGCCCAGCTTTTAGAACTGCAGCCCTCTGCCAGGCTGTTTTAAGCCCTTCCAGGCAGGAAGGGAGTAACCACTTTGCTACAGGGACCACAAGTCATATTTTTAGAACACTTCTTGTAATACCAAGTGCTTATGATAAATCAAGAACTCTTTGCATTAAAGGTGAATGTACTGAATGTATCTGACAAAAAAGAGGATGGTTTTGATCTTCCTGCACTTATAGATGATAAAGAACATAAGAGGTAAGCATGTTTAGTGCTCCATTCAGTCAATGGCACTTAAGCTGCAATTCTAAAATTTAATATGCCTCCAAAGACTGTGAGACAAGGTGGGTGAGGTAATATCTTTTATTGAACCAATTTCTGTTGGTGAGAGAGACAAGCTTTTGAGCCACACAGGGCTCTTCTTCAAAATCTCTGTGGCTTGAAAGCTTGTCTCCCCCACCTTGCCTCTCTAATATCCTGGGACCGACAGCTACAACTACACCCCAAATCCTATGCCCTTCTTGCTTGCGGAAGGGTGTGAAGGACAGGGAATATGGCTGTATGAACCTGGGAATTTTGGTACCCAACCTCACTGAAAATCAGTCATTAACATCTCCAAAGCAGATTCAAAGGGACCAATTCACTAGTACCCTACACCCAATGCATTCTGATTGGTAGTGTTAGGCTGATTTTGCACTGGTATGAATGATAGCTTAAGTTGCAGGGCAACAGTGAACTGGGCCTTGAGTTCTCTGATCTGAACATGATCTTAAATTACCTCTTGCAGAGCCTAAAAGCACATATCCCATGGACTCCATCTTAGGCCCTCTCTTTTTTTCCAGGGATTCTCCTCTGCAAGATGCACCCTATAAATAAGTATAGAGAGCACCCAAAAGGCTGCAGCTAGTACTGAGCATAACAGGGCCAGCCAGAGTACTGGTGTGCCTACACACTCCTCAGATCAGGTGCACTGCAGGGGATGGCCAGGCCCTGTTTCCTGCTCTGCACTTGCTGCTGGGGGGAAGTGTCCCTGCAATTTTAGAATATAATCAGTACAGCTCCTCAGTATGCTGCATTTGCTCTAGGCAAGCAAAAAAGCCTCCAGTAACCACCTCTGAGGCACTATGCTTCAGCTCACCCCCCTGCCCCGCCTTTTGTCTGCATCTGATGTAACAAGCTACAATGAGATCTCTGCACCCGAGTGTGAATTCCAGTACGTTCTCATTACCATTTCTGAACTAGTCTTTAGTTTCTATCGGAGGACCAGTAGCCCCATTGTTCTCTTCTGTTGCAAAACCTTTTGGCTCATTGGAACATAGCTGACAATGATCAAATTGCATTTTCAGTATAGATTAACAACCCTTCTGGGTACCATTCGATATCAAAAGTAACTATTGTAATTACATCAAAGTACCCACATTTGAGTACATGTAGATAGCATGAAAAGCCACAAACAACTCTGATTTATTCATACACACTTTTAACCAAAAGGCACTTGTGACTTGTTAATTGCATTAGCACCTACAATAGTGAGATGGAAATTTCATTTAAAACATGGAAGAATTCTCTGTATGCTTATTTTTTATCCTTGTCTTTCTGCTGCGGACTATATGAGTCAATACTGATGGGCCTAAGTCTGTAGGCAAACTTCCAAAGTGATCTTTTTGGTGTCTACTGTATAAAAATCTATACCGGTATTGCTTTGCCTGTTTGTTTAACTGTCTTAATCCAGATTGAAATTTCGGATTTCCAGTTTTAGGTTAAATAACTAATTACATTTTTTTTTCTGCTACCATGCAGTGATTTTTTTTTAAATGGCTGATTAATTTGTGTCTTCATTGAGACAACTCCCTTCCCTCACTTTTCCCCACATAAGTGTAAAGCTTCTGTGTACTTACTGAAGCACATTTGTTTTCTGATTTGTCTTCCACAAAGCCAATTCGGCATGGTGTCCTCTGATTCTGTAGCCAGTAGTCAGTTGACTCTAGTAGACTGTTGCTGCAGAGAACCTGTTAAAATAGATGAATTTACTTAGTTCTAATTCGCTTGAAATAATGGCCAGGACTTGCACCCCTTTAAGTCAATGGGAGTCTTGCTAGTGAGTTTCATTTGGGACAATATTGAGACTTTTTGTTCCTTTTGGAAAAAATGTATACTTAATCAAAATGAGATTATAGAAATTTACACCTCCCCCAACGTCATATCATGTTCACTTCAGAAGTGAAAGGCCTTGAAGATATTTGAAGATATTTTTTGACTATCAAAAACCCACATTTTTATTGGAATACAGATGCGGGGGCTTTAAACTGGTGGACATAAATAACAAAAAATGAATTTGGAAAAAGGCCTTTACAGGGAAGTAACATACCATTTTAATTCTACCGGCAGTCTCAGGGCTGGAGGCTGCCAGAAGCATGCATATCATTTTCATATCTGAGTGCTCACTTGAGAAGTTGGAAGTAGTTGGGTAACATTTTAGTCAGTATTGAACTCACTCCTGTGTCTGTTGAAGTCAGTGAGGGTTTTGCCATCGACTCCAATAAGACTAAGAGTTCCCCTTATGAGTTCAACACTGCAGCCCTTACTCAGACCCATGGTCTCCATTAGGAGTTTTGGCAAAGTAAAGACCAAGTGATTGTGCCTCTTCTGCCTATCTTTGCCCCGTCACTAAAGGCCACTTACAATGTCTGTAGACTGGAAAGAGTCAAAGCCAGTCTTACAAGGTGGGTGGTGCAGCCTCTAGAATTAATTTAATTCCTTATGTTGATATTCCTTGACAAATATGAAACACAATGTTCAACAGAGCCAAATAATCTTTTTGATAAAGAAATCTCTGCTATATTATGTATTTTCATTACTAAAACAGATTTGCAAGCTATTACACTTAGCATAACAAAAAAGGGTATTTTCTTTCTGAATGTAGCATGACATATTTTATTGAAATGCCTCAAATTTGTAAGACTGAAATTGTTTTGAAACTGTGACTCACATTACACATGCTGATTGCACCAAAGAATTGTACCAGTATGTGTTTAGGAGTATGTTCTCATTTGCTTCACAATTTGTGTGGGCCAAAATAGCTATATTTGAAAATAGGTGGACTGATACTGCAGTAAGCTTATTGGCCAGCTGCAGAAAGTGTCCTAACATAAACTGGGGGGAGTGGCTGAAAATGTGTGGGATCTCCAGTCACCCTTCCATGGGACGGGAACAGAACAAACCACATGATACATGCTCCATCTAGGGAAAAAAAACAGTCCTGTAGCATGGGTAGTAGCCTGGGATGCAGGAGACCTGAGTCCTATTTCTCACTCGGCCATAGGAAGTCTGTTATCTTGGACAAGACAGTTAGTCATTCTGTGCCTCAGTTCCCAATCTGTAAAATGGGGATAATAGCACTTTCCTACTTCCCAGAGGTGTGGAAAGGATAAATACATTGAAGACTGAGGCATTCAGAAATTGCAGTAATAGCAGCCATAGAACTTCCTTGGGAAGATGGATCTCATACTAGAGATACTGCATTCCTTAAGCATACAATACCTATGAGAACTTCCTGGCAACATAATAAAACTCTGTTTAGCAGGAAGGGTTGGGATAACTGTTGTGAGCATTTGTTTTACATGAATACTCTGGATTTTATAGGTGAAATATAGGAGGAAACAGACAAAAAACAACCTAAAATTCATTAGCAAGAACACAAAGATATCACATGCACTGGAGAATTCTCATGACAATTTTTCATATGTTCGTCATCTATGCACAGACTATATCATAAACTGCCTGGCTCCATTTCTCCCACAGCACAGGAGGGTGGTGGTGGCTTCTATCTGTGTAAACATTTTATTACTATTTAAAATAGGCTAGGATTTCTGAGTAGCAGGATGGATTATTTTTTTGCCCATGCTTTAAATGTGGCCAGCCTTGCACATAATAATGAGAGAGCAGACTTTTCAATTACCTTTAAAATACGGCTGAATTGTTATTCTAGGCCACCACCACATTTCTGTTGTTCTCAGTCCTGGAAGTACAGCACACAATACACAGCTCAGGTAGAGTTGGGGCAAAGGTGGCTCTAAAATGCCTTTGCACCCTCTGGATTTGGGGCTGGTGCCTGCACTGCTAGTGCTGCTCCACAAGATGGAGCTGTCAATCATCCTGGTGACATGACCTATGGGAACTCTCCTTTCATCTCTAGCTACACTCCTACAATGGTGCTTTTGAGGAGCCTGAGTACAACTGTCTACAGCAGTTACACTGTAGTTTTGCACACTGCTTGCACCAAGGAGTTCTCCCCAGCTGGCTGAGGTCCTTCCTCATCCTTTATATAATGCTGCAGCAGAATACAGGGGCATAGTGTGGGAAGAATCCTTCACATAGAAAATGCCTATACTAGAGCATGCACGTAGAGCAACCTGGTACACTTCCCCATCTGCAGATTCTTCCATGGAAAAGGGTGATTTGGCCTTAATACTTTAAAAAGGATTAGACAATTGCAGGAATAAGAATAGCAAGAGCAGTGACACTAGCTATAAACCACCTTGTGTGGTTAATCATCTTCACCCTGTAGGGATATCGGAAAGCATATCTGTGAAATGGATTTATGTTTCATTCTGATTTCTTACAATTCTTGCATAACATGAACTATGCACTAACTTCTCCTCACTCTCTTGTTTATGAAATAATAAAGTGCCATGTTTTAAAACCATACATGTACTACTATGTTTAAAGTAATCAAAATGCAAGTAGCTTGCTTTTATCATTGTGCTGGGATAAAACTATAAAACAGTGCTTGACTCTCAATCTTATTGTGTATGAACCTTGCGAATTCTGCTCTAATAATACAGTTTAAGAGGCAAACAAGAGCTACTTCTGAGCTCTAATAGCCTCTGTCACTATTGTGCAGCCTTTTATACTGATGTCCCGCTAAAGACAAAAAGAAGGTAGTAGGCAGGTACCGTACTACTGGATATGGTGAGTATGCTGTATGTTTGTTTACAAAAAGTCACCCTGGAGAGACTCAAAAGCAAAATCCTTCTCTGTGATGCACTGTGCTTATCTGTATTGCAAATAAATCAATAATTTCCTTACAAAAATGACTTGGTAACAAGCAATTCCAAATGCCACTCAACTGACAACATTCACTAAGTATCAACTAGAAGGTGGTCTCCATGTAGGTTGGGAGGTTTTCAGGACTATGCTTTGCTTAAGTAAAATTTCCCCTCCATATGTTGTGAATGGTCCCTGGAATGCTTCCCATGTGTCCGCAACAGCCTCACTGAAATATTCTTGGGCAGTATGACACCACACTACCAGAACTCCTACCTGTGGCCAATATCATGCACTTGTTAGAAAGCAGGCAGCCTGTTGCAACCACATGAGCCCAGTGACTTCAGGGGGGCTCTGCATGGGTGCAACTTGGAGGCCACACGCTCTTAATTGATATGGGCCTATAGTAGCTGCTGTCTACTGAGGAGGCTCTGTTGACTTGTTTGACTTGGGGCAGATAGAGGTGAGGAACTAATACAAAACTGCCTTTGATAACTAGACTCTGAGAGCCAAATTCAGTCCTTTATGTGAGCAGGTGCAACCCTGTTGAGAGATCAAGTGATTGTTATTATTCACCTTCATTTTATTGAAGAGAGTAGTAGTCTTCCTTGTGCTCAGTGCTGTACACTGTGGCTATGATGTGGTCACAATCTCAAAGATGTTATATTTTAAATTAGATGATTAAAATTAAAATCCTCTGAGCCTGATTCACCACTGCTTTTCTTGTACTCTTGATAGTCACTTGCATACACGTAGCACACACTTAACAGGTGTAAAATGCTCCCATTCTGAATGTGGACACAGACTGTCTCCTTCACACAGCTGTAAATGATTACACTAGGTGTAAGGCATTGAGGAGTCAGACCCAGTGAGCTGGGGGTATGTACAGGCTTCATGGACTGCTCCTCCAAGGTGCAAATGCTGATTTTACATCTGAATACTGGACACTATATTTAGCAATCCATTCAAGTTCTTCAGGAAAAAATATATTTACATAAAAGGTTCCTGGCTACCAAAACACAGGGATATTAACTTCCATCCTTTCCATTTGATATTGGTTTATGAAAACAACAGCTAACACTTCCTAATGTTTATAGTAGAGAGAAGAAGGTAAACTAAGAGCTACCTCTATGTCAAAAGAGGCCAAATAGTTGGTCTGTCCAGGAAAGGGGGAAGAAGAAGTAAGTGTGTCCAAACTTCACAACAAATCCTGGCCTTCAAAATACCTGTTCCTAAAGTTTAAGGAACCTTAAATCCATAGAGAAATGTTCCTTGTGCCCTCTAAGGCCAGTTTTTCTGGGATAAAGTCACAGAAAGCAGATATCCTTTCCTAAGATCAAAAAGTGGTCGGTCTGCTTTTCCAAAATACAAATTTCTTCAGAAAAGAAAATAAATTGGATAAAAGAATAATTAATACAAGCAGCAGAATATGGGTGAGATTAGGAAAATGCAAGGGGGAGGTTGGGATAAGAGGGTAAAAAAAGTTTAACTACATTTAGGGGCAATTACTAATGGTCCAGTAATTAACTAGGAACATAGGAACTGCCATTCTGGATCAGATCCAAGGTTCATTTAGTCCACTACCCTGTCTCTGACAGTGGCCAACACCAGATGATTCAGAGGAAGATATGAAAACCCAGTGGTAGGCATTTGTGAAATAATTTTCTCCCACATTAGGTCTCATCCTGATTTCTAATAGAGATTGGCTTAAGCCTCAAGCACAAGATTTAATGTCCTTCCAAAATGTGATATAATTAATTACGACAGCTTTGGATAGTCTTTATCCATATAAATGTCCGATCCTTTTTCTGAATCTTAAATTCTTGGCCTCAACAATTCCTGTGGCAATAAGCACCACAGTTCAATTACAAGATGTAACTAGAAACAGAGTGAGGATGGTGGGACTAAGCAAAGGAAAGGAACATGTTAATCTGCCTAAAGCCCAGCACTACTATTCTATGGC